ACATAGTATGTCCTCAGAGTAATGAAATATTAATAATATTAACAAATGGGACAACAAGGAAATGAGAAAAGAATAGTGTCCCAGATAGGCCTGCTACACTTTGCCCATTAGAGCAAACAGTTATTGGTAACCCTGATGAGTTATCAGGCTGGAGCAAATTAAAGAAAAATAGTTTATTGTTGTATACACAATAAGCGGCCAGCTGAAGGTATTTCAGAAAGCTTACTCCAATTTTCCATGTGAAACCCAAGAAGCTTTTCAAAAAGCAAAGTCTCTTCTCTTTTATTAAACAATTGTACTAAAAATGTTATTGTTTGTCTTTTCCCACTAGAAGGTAATCTCCATGAGAACAGAAACTTTGTTTTGCTATATTCTTGGTGCTGGGAACCGTAGCTGGCATTTTGGAGGTGCTTAATAAATATTTGTTGGATGAATGAGTGGGAGAATCTGAAGCAAGTAGACAGATGAATTTTTCCTAGTTGTGTAGAAAGCATACAGTTGGTGTCTATATGTTTCTATCAGATACATACACAGAATATATGATATCAAGAGCCCAAGGGACTTTGGAAGCACCTCATACTTTCTGTGGGGTGAGTCTTCCAGAAATCTGAGAGATCATGAGAAAGACTCTACTGAAAAGCTTAGTACCAATTCTACAAAATATTTGTGTAGCCTTTATAACAAAGGGTTTGAAACTCGCTAAAGAGTAAAACCTCAGCAGCCAGCCAAGGGGTCTGTGAAACAGTGTTACACAGGAAGTAGCATGGTTTCCTAACCCCAACACAGGAGGGGAGCAGTTTTCAGGTTGCACTCAGTCTAGAACAGCAGCCCCCAACCTTTTTGGCACTGGAGACTAGTTTCGTAGAAGACAACTTTTCCACAGATAGGAGGGTGGATGGTGGGTGGTTTCAGGATGATTCGAGTGCATTACATTTATTGTGCACTTTATTTCTATTATTATCACATTATAATATATAATGAAATAATTATACAACTCACCATAATACAGAATGAATGGGAGGCCTGAGCTTGTTCCAGACGGTCCCATCTGGGGGTGATGGGAGACAGTGACAGATCATCAGGCGTTAGATTCTCATAAGGAGTGTGCAACGTAGATCCCTGGCATGTGCAGTTCACAACAGGGTTTGCTTTCTTATGAGAATCTAATGCCGCTGCGGATCTGACAGGAGACGTGACAGGAGGCAGAGCTCAGGTGGTAACGTGAGTGACGGGGAGAAGCTGTAAATACAGATGAATCTTGACTCACCCGCTGCTCACTCCCTGCTGTGCCACCCAGTTCCTAAGACGCCATGGACCAGTATTGGTCTGTGGCCCAGGGGTTGAGGACCCCTAATCTAGAAGACAAAAGCAGGATATGATCAAGCCTGCCTTTTCCCACTGCAGTGTGGCAGAAACCAAGACAGGACACAGAGAAAAAAGCAAAGAGACAATGCTATGCACAGTGAAATTTTTGCCAAATATAATAAATATCTGAGGGAAATTATAAGAGAGCAGCCATAGTCGAATACAAACAACAAGGAAGGCACATTTGCCACTGGAGACACAGTGCTACATCATCATTGTGTAGCGTCAAAGAATAGTTAAGACTATCTGCCATCTACTGGCAAGTGTAACGTATATTATATTGGTCCAAATCCCCAAGCGAAGTGGGATACCCACCCAGATACTGAATCACTTTCCCAAGGGGGGCGTATTCCCACAGCCCTCACCTCTATTACACACCACACTGACGCAAGCATGAAGCTCTGGCCTTTTCTCCTGTGTGTGTGCACACACACACATAGAGAGCATTTCTGGCCGTGTAAGTCTCCTCTAAACTTTTGTGGGTCACAGAGTGGAGAGAGCCGTCCCATTGCAGACTGCACAGTAAGCAATGCAGAATCTGTTCCTAAGGGACCTTTGCTTGTCCCACCTGCCGGCAGGCTGCTTCCCTCCACTCCACACCAGCCACTGACCTGCTAACCCCTCCTCTCCCCTCCTCTACTCCTCTTCTCTCCTCTCCTCCCTCCACTCCTTGCTTTTTTCTCCCCTCACTCCCTGGAGTATTGTATTTTCTCTTGTGGTGCAGCCTCACCCTTACTCGCCTACATACATAGCTGTACTCCTGCCCCCAGAGTCTCATTTTTGATTCTTTAAGTCTCTCCTCAAACATACGTTTTCTCCTTAAGAACAGCTTTAGAGATGGTCATCTTGATAAAAGTGTTTTTACTCTGCAAGAAAAGAGAGACACCATCCCCAAGAAGACCTCTATAAAAGGAAAGCAAGGCAGAGTACAATGGCTAACATCTGTAATCTCAGCACTTTTGGAGGCCAAGGAAGGTAGATCACCTGAGGTCAGGAGTTCAAGACTAGCCTGGCCAACATGACAAAACCCTGTCTCTACTAAAAATACAAAAATTACCCGAACATGGTGGTACATGCCTGTAAGCCCAGCTACTTGGGAGACTGAGTCAGGAGAATCACTTGAACCCAGGAAGCAGAGGTTGCAGTGAGCTCAAATCATGCCACTGCACTGTAGCCTGGGCAGCAGAGCAAGACATCATCTCATAAAATAAAATAAAATAAAATAAAATAAAATAAAATAAAATAAAAAATATAGCTATGCAGCAGAGCAGCATGAGACATGGAAGAAGAGAAGGATTGTCCAGAAAGTAGAAATCTGAATGTGACCAGAGCACAGCTTCTTCAGCTACGGCTTGCTGAGACTGGAAGTCAGCACCAAAGCCTGGCAGTACATTTGGTTACCATTACATAGACATAACCATATTTTAAATAACTATCATAAACCGATTCCAATTTTATTCTGTAGTTAGGGAACAGGACATTCTCAAAGAACACTTTGATGTCTTTATAAAGGTTCTAATTAAAGAACTCTTCAAGACATCTTTATGGGTCGATTTCTGAACTAGATGGGCCATAACTGATTTCAGTCAAATCCCACTTTCAGTAGGCAGAACGAGTAAGTAGAATTCCTTCAAGAAAGTAGCTTACTCTTCTATCTTATATGGGTGTGTTATAAATGTGTTATATAAAATGCCATCTGTTATAAAAACAAAACATTTCATTAAGAAGGCGCGGTGGCTCAAGCCTGTAATCCCAGCACTTTGGGAGGCCGAGGCGGGTGGATCACAAGGTCAAGAGATCGAGACCATCCTGATAAACATGGTGAAACCTCGTCTCTACTAAAAATACATTAAAAAATTAGCTGGGCATGGTAAGTGCGTGCCTGTGATCCCAGCTACTCAGGAGGCTGAGGCAGGAGAATTGCCTGAACCCAGGAGGCGGAGGTTGCGGTGAGCCGAGATCGCACCATTGCACTCCAGCCTAGGTAACAAGAGCAAAACACCGTCTCAAAAAAAAAAAAAAAAGATTTTTTTAATTGTACATTCTGCAAAAGGCCAAATTCTGTAAGCTAAAGCAGAGGTCCTCAGAGTGTGGTCCCAGATCAGCAGCTCTGGTATTACCTGGGAATATGTTAGAAACACAGGTTCTCAGGCCTCACCAGATACACAGAAGCAGAAACTCTGGGGTGGGGCCCAGTAATCTGTGTATTAACAAGCCCCTCAGCTGATGCTGATGCCCTGAAGACCACTCTAGCCTGAAGACCACTGTCCTAGGGTCACCACACCCACAAGGTTCCTGATTGGTCCATATTGAATATTTCTTCTCTTTTTTCTTTTCTTTTCTTTTCTTTTCTTTTCTTTTCTTTTCTTTTCTTTTCTTTCTTTTCTTTTCTTTTTAACATAGTCTGGTGCAGTGGTGCAATCTCTGCTCACTGCAACCTCCCCCTCCCAGGTTCAAGTGGCTCTACTGCCTCAGCCTCCCGAATAGCTGGGACTGCAGGCACACGCCACCACACCCAGCTAATTTTTGTATTTTTAGTAGGGATGATGTTTCACCATGTTGGTCAGGATGGTCTCAATCTCTTGACCTCTTGATCTACCCGCCTTGGCCTCCTAAAGTCCTGGGATTACAGGCGTGAGCCACTGTGCCCAGTCCATACTGAATATTTCTAAATGCTAGTGTAATCCCTGAATTATGATTCCTTTCATTTCTACGTCTTTTGAATCTCAAAAATCTGTAGCCCTGTCTTCAGATTACATGGTTTCTGCAATAAAGCCAATGCTTGAGTCCCTGCCCAAATTCATATATTGAAATCCTAAGCCTCAAGGTGATGGTATTAGGAGGACCTCGTTTTGGGAGCTGCAGATGTGGTCTCTGGAGATACAGGGAAGAAGGAGAACAGAAGTCTTGGCTTTGAAGAGAAAGTGCGATGACCCCACTAACGATCAAAACCGTTAAACCAACCTCATTAAGGGTGGCTCCACCTCCCCAACCTCCCTGCTTTTTCTACCAAGCCAAACCCAGAAATAGAACACGGCTCACTCCTCAGGGCGATTGCCTCTGCCTCATCTCCAGAGATCACATCTGCAGCTCCCAAAACTAGGTCTGTTCTGCAGGGGGACAGTTCACTGCTGGAATCCCAACCCTAACAGCAGAGCCAAAGCCAGAGGAGAGGAAAGCGAGAATAAGGCCAAAGCGTGCCTCCAGATTCCAAACGTCATTTTGCAGCCCTCATGCTATCAACCGCTGCCTGCTGGCTCCTGCCGGGTCCCTGGTCCATACACAGCCTGCACCAGGAGCCTGCAGAGACATGGGGGCTGGCGATGGGAAACAGATGGTGGCCTGTGCTTCATCTTTCCCAAGTTTACAACTTCACCTGGGGGTGGAGGCTGTTCTGAGGGTCCCCAAGAGCTAAGTTCATGCATCGCTACTGACCCTTTCCCTGTGAAAGCAGAAAGTCAATACGCATGCTACCCCAGACCAGAACAGCCTCATCTGTCGATTCAAGGTCCTGGGGGAACAGTATTCAAATGCCTCTGCTCACTGCCTTTTACGTCTGATTGTGGTTCCCGGGGAGCCTAAAATTTGAGAAGTGAAACTGAACATGCCACTGCCTTCGTGAGGGTAAAGGAAGAACCTTTACGGCCTTTTTATTGGCCGGTTATTTTTCTGTGTGTTTCATACCAGCCCTCACCATGAAGGGTTTCACAGCCACTCTCCTCCTCTGGACTCTGATTTCTCCCAGCTGCCGTGGAGGCGGCGGAGGGGGAGCCTGGCCCACACACACGGCCTGCAGTGACAGCGGCTTGGAAGTGCTCTACCAGAGTTGCGGTAAGACCTCGCAGCTCAGCCACGTGTGTGGGGGGAAAGTAAGGCCCACAGATGTGAGCCGCTAGTGCTCGGTTGGGGTGGGTGAGGGGACAGGGGACAGGGGACAGGGGACAGGGGACAGGGGACAGGGGACAGGGGACGGGCAGCTGAACACTTTCTCCACCTGCAGCAGGTCTGGGAGGGCCACTGGGAGCCTTTGGGAGAAGAGGGGTGGGGCCAAGAGCAGAAGAGAGAATGGCAGAGCAACAAAGACTACAAGAAAGAGAAATTGAATCTAAATATAGCAATTTACTAATTGAGAACCCAAAAAAGAACAAGATGATCAGTGAGTCTACCAAACCATCAAATCTCACCAGTTGAAAATTAGGAAAAGAAGCTTCCAGTAGGCCCTTCCCCAACACTGTGCACCTGGGCTGTCTTTCCATGTGATGTCCTTTGCAAGTGGAGTGAAAAGGTGACTTCTGCCCAAAGAGAAGATTCCTCTCACTCTCTGGACACTCTTAGAGCTTCCGGGACAGCAGCAGCTCTCAAAAATTCAGCAAACACTTCACGTGCACCTACCGGTGCTAGGGTTTCTCAGTGCTAGAGATAATAAAAGTGCGTAAGCCAGGCCCGTCACCTCAGCGGACCGACACAAATGCCAAGAGATAAATTGCAATTCAGTGAAGAGAATGCAGTGAACTGCGGTAAGAAGCGTCAGAACCAACCAATCAGGCTGCGTCTAAGTCAGCTAGGGCTGCCGTAAAACGTAACAAAGTACCGCGGTCTGGGGACTCAAATAACACAGATTTATTTCCTCACAGCTCTGGAAGCTGGGCTGGTTTCTCCCGAGGCATCTCTCCTTTGTTTTAGGTGGCATCTTCTCCGTGTCTCCTCACGTGGTCTTCCCTCTGTGCACATCTGTGTCCTCATCTCTTCTTTTTATACAGACACAGTCATATGAGATTAGGGCTTACCTTCAGGGCCTCAGTTTAGCTTAATCAGCTCTTTAAAGATCCTATCTCCAGCAGGGCACGGTGGCTCACACCTGTAATCCCAGCACTTTGGGAGGCCGAGGCAGGTGGATCACTTGAGGTCAGGTGTTTGAGACCAGCCTGACCAGCATGGTGAAACCCCATCTCTACCAAAAATACAAAATTAGCCAGATGTGTTGGTACACACCTATAATTCCAACAACTTGAGAGGCTGAGGCAGGAGAATCGCTTGAACCCGGGAGGTGGAGGTTGCAGTGAGCCAAGAACGTGTCATTTCACTACAGCCTGGGTAACAAGAGCAAAACTCCGTCTCAAAAAAAAAAAAAAAGACCCTATTTTCACATACAGTCTCATTCTAAGGTACTGCAGTCCCCCAGTCTGCTAGGAATATGTTCCAAGACTCCCAGTGGCTACCTGAGATCATAGATCATTCTGAACCCTACATATACTATGTTTTTGAATCCAATAAATGAGACAGCTACTAAGTGATGGACAGGCAGGTAGCAGAGACAACGTGGATTCTCTAGAGAATTCATGTTCCTGGTGGGATGGAGCTGGACAGCACGAGACTTCATCATGCTATTCAGAAGGATGCTCAATGTAAACTTATGAATTATTTCTGGAATTTTCTATTTAATATTGGCCTGAAGTTGGCCGAAAGTAACTGAAACCTTGGTAAATGAAATCTTGGATAAGGAGGCACTACTGTACTGGGGGTTGGGACATCAACACATAAATTTGAGGGGATGCAATTCATCCCATACAGGGCTCCCAAGTGGGGAGAAACTCAGGAGACCAGCTTGAGGATCACAGCTGCTGTTAGAGGGACTGGCTTGTGCAAGCGCATTGAATTGTGATATCTGTCACTTTGGAGGGAGGTGGGGGACATTTGAACTGCGGGAAGTGGGAAAGAGAAGTCGAGTAATTATCTGAATTGGCCTCACTCTAAGCTGGAGGGTGACAAGGAACCAGTGCTTGCACAAGTAGCTGATCCTACAACTGCCACCCAAAGAGCTCCCGGAGAGGTCCAGATGGTCACTCTGGTCAGCAGGGCCATTTGCTCAATTTGGCCTTACTCTTATAAAGAAGGGACATTGAAGTGCACAAAAAAAAAATTAAAAATAAGTAAAAGAGGATAAATGGCTGGATGCTGGAAGTGCTGATCTTGTCACTCTCAGTTTTCCGATGGGGTCAGGATCACTAGTATACCATTCATTTTAGGTGCAGGATGAGAAGCAGGATGTGATATGAGGACTGGTCAGGATTGGTTTTTCCAATTCATCCTTGCATAAAAGGTTACCATGGCTGATCTGTCTCCCAGACTCACCCTCTGCCTGCAGCCAGGCTGGCGCATCCTTTCAAGTCACTGGCGAGAGGACTGGGCATGTCAGGGAAAGAGCAAGGACACACCACCTGCCCGTCTGAGGATGACTCTTTCCTCTGTGGGTGAAGTTGCTCCATGGAGTCAGTGAACGTCCTTGCCAAGCCCTGCTCCAGGCACTCAGAATAAGGGACAGAAGAGAGGCAGTTCTCACCCAAGTGTAGTGGGAGGCTCAGACAATTAAGCAACAAGGTAAACGCTTTGTGTGAAGGGCTGTAGGGAAGGCAGGCATTGTGTACCAGGGGCATGGTGGTCAGAAGATAGTGAGGTTGGCATCTAAATCTGCTGGGGAAGGAGTCACCAAGCCTAAGCTGAAGCTTAAAGACTGATGACAACAGTAATGATAACAGCTCATGTCGGTGGAGGCCACCATGCTGAGTGGTTTACACACATCATTCTTATCTTGCAGATGTGTAAACTGAGGGATAGAGATTGTCATTCACAGATAACTTTTCCAAGACCACACAGCTAATAGTGGCAGAATTACATCCCCAGGGTCGCAGATAAGGTAAGGCATTGAGGAACTATTTATAGAATTAAAACAAATTGATCCCCAGCCTGCCTGACTCCAGAGCCCATGCTCCAGAACTCCCTGAAGTCTAGAGTTTCATCAGCAGGCAAAGCGGAGTAAAGGAGAGGTGAGAGAAGAAGTCTGGCAGAGAGCACGACATGCATGAAGGCCTGGAGAAGGGGCCAGGCTTAGGGTTCAGGGAACTGTAGGAGAGCTGAAGACACAAAGGGCTGAAAGAGGAAGTGGAAGATAAGAGCAGGACCCCAGATAAGGGTGGGCCGTGTCCCTTTGGCCAGGAGGAAATTGCATTTTGGAAAGATCCTTGGGCAGTTAACAGGAGTGTAGATGTTGAATTGGAAGTTATTTGAGGCTAAAAATAGGGTTTTCTCCAGGCAGAGCAATAATTCAGGAAGAAACCACTAAGGCCTGAGTTGGCACCATTTCCGCAGTCTTGATAACCTTGAGGAGAAAGGAAACTTCACAAGCAGTTACTGGGTTTTGAATACGAACTAGGAAGTAAGCATAATTTTCTGAAAAAGCGGAAGTCCTGGGCTGGTCAACTGCCAGTGACACAGGAAAGAAGAGAGCCACTGTCTTTACTAAAGCAAAAGGGGAGTGAACACAGTCAGGGGCCTTGGGTTTGCTAAATCACAAGTCTCAAGGTTACAGAAGCCCAGGGACCCCACCCCTTGCACATGTCACAAACACCCACCAATGTATTTATTTATGTGCTACCTCTAGCATATTCACAAAGATGTGAGGAGATGACAGAAATACTTGTAATTGGAAGGAGAAACAGGCGTGAGGGGAAGCATAAGGGAAAGTGCTATGGACTGAATGTCTGTGTCCCCTGAAGATTCGTGTTAAACTCTAATCCCAATATGACGGTATTAGGAGGTGGGGACTTTAGGAGGTGATTAGGTCATGAGGGTGGAGTCTTCATAAATGGGATTAGTGCCCTTAAAAGAAGAGGTCAGAGATCTCCCTCTCTTTTCACCACATGACACAATGAGAAGGTGGCTGTCTGTAAACGAGGAAGCGAGCCCTCACCAAGAACTTGCCCCTGGTGTCTCTCTGATCTCAGACTTCCAGCCTCCAGGACTCCGAGAATTCACTGTCGGCTGTTTAAGTCCTTCAGTCTATATAATTTGTTAAACCTACCTGAGCTGCCTAAGGGGAAATCATAAAAGGCAGGACAGGTTAGACACATGTAACAGACGAGGCAGCAAAACATGTAAGAGCTTAGGATCTGGAGTCAGCAAAGCTCATTCAAATCTTGGGGCAACGTTCTAGATCTCGTGGTATTGGTTGTAAGGAGGGTGTATTAGTTTCCTGCTGCTGCTGTAACAAGTTTCTACTTGGTGGCTGAAAACAACACATGTATTCACTCATAGTTCTGTGGTCAGAGTCCAAAATCAATTTCACTGGGTGAAAGTTTTGGCAGGGCCTGGGCCTTGCTCCCTTAGAAGCTCTGGGGGAGAATTCATTTCTTTTCTTTTCTTTTCTAGCTTATATAGCTGCATTCCTCGGCCTGGGGCTTCTTCCTCCATCTGCAAAGCTGACCATGTAGCATCTTGCTTCCTTCCATTATCACATGGCCTTCCTGTTCTGTTTCAAAGCTTCCTCTGTTTCCTTCCTATAAGAACTTTGATGATTAGGACCATCTCCCGAAGTTAAGATCCTTAATCACATCTGCAAAGTCTCTTGCCATGTAAGGTAACATTCACAGGTTCCAGGGGTTAAGATGAAGATATCTTTAGGGACCATTATTTAGCCTAATATCAATAGTGAGAATATATTACCTACCCCACAGGGCTGTGTGAGGATTGTGTGAGAAGGACTACGTGAAAGGTACTTACCACATACTATGAGCTCAATACATCTGCACTGCTGATGACTTTGTAAGGTGTTTTACAGCTGATAGAAGTATAACAGACTCTGAGCTTCCTTAAAACCTAATCAAACAAGGAAATGACATCGTTTCTGAAATAAAATTAGTTTTTAAGATGCTCAGCTTTTCCTGATATAGGGATGAGCGATGACGGGAATTTCTCCCCAGAGTAGATGACATCCTGGACAGTGTCTCTACTGAGATGCCATGGTGACTCACACCTGCTGTTTCTCACAGTGCCCC